CTTAACAAACACTGGTCTCTTTCTTACTCAAACATCTCCCATGATTGCCTAGCACTCACAGGTGATTGCCATCATCAGGCTCTGGTAAAATTCAGGGGCAGGGTGGGATCTTTGATTTCAGGGACATGGGGCCCTTCTCCCAAATATGAGACTCAGGGTGCCCAAGCGCCCCTGCTGGCCCACAGGAAGGCTCCTGGAAGTTGACAGCAGAGTTTTATTCCTAAGAGCTAAGGTAGGTGGGGCTGCCCGTGAGGGCTAGGTGTGTTAAGGAATACCTGGGCTCTTTCTCTGTGCTCTGCTGCCCAGGGGCTCCACCCTCAGCCACAGCCCGCCCTCCGCGCGCAGGATCAACTGTGGCTTCCTCTTGGGCTCAGTATCATCTGGCAGAATGCGGAAACGTAGCAGCGTGAGAGCAACCACCACCTTCATCTCATTCATGGCGAAAGTCTGTCCAATGCAGTTCCTGCAGGCAGGAAACAGGGGTGGCGTAAGGGAAGGGGGGGTGGTTCTAAAGAGCCCAGAACGCCCCATTCCGGACTTTTGACAGCAGGAGTCCAGCCCAGTTCCCCGACACTACCCAGGATCTGCATGAAGAATAAAAGGAGGTGGAGGCTGGCCGATCCAGGACCCCCAAGAGGGCTTTTGTGAGTCCTGAACTTGGTTCTGACTTCAGTCCCTGATTCAGAATTGCAGAGTCTCTGAGCACTCTGGACCTCTCCTTTTATCCTTTCTTTCCTCCCTAAATCCTTCTCCAAAACTCAGGCGGAGGAGAGTGAAGGGGGCTAGAATTCAGATCAAATAAAAGAACTCGGCCTCACGCACTCAGGCCTCCATCCAATCCAACCTCAGTCCTCTGCAGGTCTCACCTGGGCCCAGCAGAGAAGGGAATAAAAGCCAGAGGCGACCTCTTCTGGGAGTTTTCTAAGTCGAAGCGAAAGGGATCATAAACCTGGAGGTAGGGGAGACAGGGTGTAAAGGTAGGTAAAGAATAGACAGCCTTAGGTCAATGGCCATGTGCCTCCAGGTCCCTACAGTGGATAAAGATGGGTGGTCAAGGGCAGTACCTCAGGATTCGGCCACACAGAGGGGTTATGATGAGTCCCGAAGATGCTGATAAGACAAATGACACCTGTAGAAGAGGACAGTTAGGATGAGGTCCCCCTTAACGCCTAATGGGCCCTCATTCCTGAATAGGGCCTTCCCCTTGATGTTACCAGCACCTTTGGGGATGATCCGGCCATCTGGAAGCCCCACGTCCTGGGTACAGCGGCGGGAGACGACAGTGACTGGGGGATGCAACCGCAGACTCTCCTTGATGCACATGGTCAGGAAGGGCAGCTGGGCCAGGTCGTCCCTAAGGAACCCACAGTTAACCTGAGAGCAAAGACTGTCCCCTGGTGGCACTGTTCTTACCACCTTTTACTGAACCTCCCCCCAACCCTTGCAACTCCCTGTAAAAAAAATAAATTTCTGGTGAATGAAAAGGTAAGCGTTAGATGGATAGACAAAAGCTCTGTGCTCTCTGCACACAATGGAATACTCCTCAGCCACAGACAGGAAGCCCTGACACATGCCACCACGTGGTAGAACTTTAACAACTTCACGCTCAGTGAAAATATCACTCACAAAAGGACAAATAAAGTATGATCTAACTTACTTAAAATAAACATATATTGTTGTTAGGTGCCATTGAGTCACCTGAGACCCATAGCAACCCTGTGTACAACAGCTCTGAAGCCTCCTCTGTCCTGAACCAGTCTCACTGACTCCCAAACACCTACCCCCATTGCCCTAGTTACTGTATCAATTCATCTTATCCAGGGTCTTCCTCTCCTGTGCTGTCCCTCCACCTTTCTGAGAATGATGTCCTTCTCCAAGGACTAGTTCCTCCTGGCCATGTGTCCAAGGTATGTGAGATGGAGCTTCAAAATCTTAGCCTCTAAAACAACTATGAGAATAGCATCTGACCCCAGTTAGAATAGCAAATTGTAACAGAACAGCAAACAACAAATGCTCACGAGGTTGTGGAGAAACTGAAACCCTTATTCACTGTTGGTGGAAGTGTAAAACGGTGCAACCACTGTGGAAGGTGGTGTGGCGCTTTCTCAAAAAATTGCAAATAGAGATACCATTTGACCCAGCAATTCCACTACTGGGAAAAAGATTATAACTGCCACCCAAGCAGATACATGCACACCCATGTTTATTGCGGCTTGTTCACAAAAGTAAGGAGTTGGAAACAACCTAAGTGCCCATCTACAAATGAATGGATAGAGAAGCTGTGGTATATTCACAGAGTGGGATACTATGCTGCATTGAAAAACAAGGAACTCATGCAATATTATTAAAAATGGGTGACCCTGAAGGACATTATGCTGAGTAAAGTAACTCAGTCACAAAAGGATAAACACTGCATGTTGTAAAACAGGACTAACATCAGGGTTGGGGGGAGACTGAGAAAGATGGATTAAATAATGTATACTGCATTGAAACAGATGAGGGAGAAAACTGTTTAAACGGGATATGTGTTTAGGTATTTTTGTCATTACGGGAGTCCACAGCAAAGGCTGCATAGTGGAGTGGACCTGGAGGAAGGGATTGTAAAACAATGAAAGGATTTTTCTTTTACTTTTCCAAGAGGGTAGTGTACTGGGGGCGGGGGAGGGGAGAGGGGAGAAAAGTGTAACAATGAACGAATGGAAATCCAAAGTCTCTAAATTTTCATTGAAATTAATAATAATAAAATTAAATGAGCCTATAAACCTGGGAAAAAATTCTTAGCCTCCAAGGAGAAATTTGGTTTCACCATCTCCAAGATAGACTTATTTGTTTTCTTGGCAGTCCATGGTATGTTCAAGATTCTTCTCCAGCACCACAACCCGAAGGCATTAATTCTTCTTCTGTGTCATCCTTAGTCATTATCCAGCTTGTTGCTGTTATTGTTATGTGCCACCGAGTCACCTGCAACTCATAGTGACCCTATGTACAACATCCCTAAACCCTGCTCTATCCTGTGCCAATCTTATTGTCTCTGACACACCTACCTCCATTACCCTAGTCACTGAATCAATCCATCTCATCAATGGTCTTAATCTCTTGTGCTGTCCTTCCATTCTCCCAAGTATGATGTCCTTCTCCAAGAACTGATCCCTCCCTGCAATATGTCCAAAGTATGTCAGATCAAGCTGCCGAATCTTTGCCTCCAAGGAGCAGACTGGTTTCACCCTCTCATGGATGAACCTGTTTGTTCTCTTAACAGTGCATTCAAAACCCTTCTCCAGCACCACAGCTCAGTGGCATCAATTCTCTTTCTGTAATCCATAGCCATTGTCCAGATTTCTGATGTATAGCAAGTAATTGCAAAAACTGTGGTCTAGATCAGGCGCACCTTAGTCTCCGGACTGATATCATTGCTCTTCAACTTTTTTGAGAGGTCTCTTACAGCACAATTTTCCAGTGCAATTCATCTTTTAATTTCCTGGCTGCTGGTACCAAAAGTGTTGATTGTGGAGCCAAACAAAATAAAGCTGTCAACAATCTCAATCTCTTCACCATTGTCTGTGTTTTATTGACTATGTAAAGGCATTTGACAGTGTGGAGGACAACAAATTGTGGGTAACTCTGAGAAGAATGGGAATCCCAGAAGACCTGATCATGCTTATGCAAAACCTCTACTTGGACCAGGAGGCAGTCATCAGAACAGAGCAGGGAAGCACTGCATAGATCAAAACTGGTAAGAGTGTGCACCAGGAATGTGTCCTATCTCCATCCTTTTCAATATTTATGCAAAACAGATTATTCAGGAGGCTGGACTCTATGAGGAGAAGTGTGGCATCAGGATTGGAGGAAGACTCATCAACAGTCTGCATTATGCACATGACACAATCCTGCTTGCTGAAACTGAGGAGGACTGTCAGGGGCCTGGCTAACTTGTAAAGCAAGATTAGCACTGCATTATAAAACCAGCAGGACTGATTCCATCTTGACTAGAACATCTGCTTGGCAGTAAACAACTGAGGAAGCAGGATACTAATGAATAGGAAGTGACCAAAAGTCTCAAAATTCGAGGAATGTGATGCTCTTAATCCTCCGAGACTCTTTAGTCTTCTAAGCACACAAAAAGGCCTTCTGAAGATATCTTTGTTTTGTGTTGAGGTCTGGGCATATTTGACCTGACAGTCAACATCTCGGACAGATAAGAGATAATGTGATTACCCCTGCAGGCAAGTTTCTAAAACCTATATAAGCCTTTTTCAGAATAATAAAATTGCTATTCATCATCAGTGAGTAGTCTTTCTGAGTCTTCATTTCATCTTTGTCCCTTCTCTCAGTGGAACTGTTTCAACATAACAGGGCTGGACTCCATTAGAGGACCTGAAGCACTTGCTGCAGAAGCAGCCTTCAATATGGATTGAAGCTCAACATCAAGAAAACAAAGATTCTCACCACTAGGCTGATTGGCAGCATCATGATAGATGGTGAAGAAAGTGAGACTGTCCAGCTAAGATTATGTTGATGGATGGGGAAATTATTTGGAAATGTATATGAAGACAGGTTACACAACTTGAAGAATTTAATCACTATTACTGAATTGCACATGTAGAAATTGTAGATTGTGTATGGGGGGTTTTCTGTATATTTTCACAACAGAGCAAGTGAGGAAGACCCCTGATGAGATGGATTGATTCAATTACTGGGGTAATGGGGGTAGGTGTGTCAGAGACAAGATTGGCACAGGATAGAGCAGGGTATAGGGCTGTTTTACATAGGATCCCTATGAGTCTCAAGCAACTTGATGGCACATAACAATAACAATTTTTTTCAAGACTAGTCTTTAGGGAAGTAATGCCATGAAGTTTCAAAGAAGATTTAGTTCAAAGTCTTTATGAGAAATTCAGCACACACACAAGACATTCATGAAAAGTGTGACAAATGTGCAGAGAAAAGATGTTCTTTATGGCAAGAAAGCAAAACCAAAAGGCAAATGAGTGGGAAACGCACTAAACATATCCCAGTCTTCTCTACACGACATTGTTCCTGGCCATTTCACATGGCCTGTTAGTGGTGTCGTTGTTGTTAGGTGCCATCAAGTTGAACATGACCCAAAACAGCACTATGAACAACATGTGAATCTTGTCCTATCCCGTGCCGTTCAGCAATTTCTGACATACATACGCCCACTGCTGTAGTCATTGTGAAAATCTATCTCATTGAGGGTCTTCCTCTCTTTCACTGACTCTCAACTTTTCCAAGCACGATGTCCCTCTCCAAGGAATAGCTTCTTCAAGCAAGATGACCAACATATGTGAGACAAAGCTTGGTCCTCTTTGCTTCCAAGGAGCACTCTGGCTGCACACTCTTCTTTGGCAGTCCATGGGATCTTCAGTACTCTTCTCCAACACCACTGCCCAAAGATATCAATTCTTCTTCTGCCATCTTCATTCAGTGTCTCAGATGCATAGCAAGTGATTGAAAAGACCATGGCCTGAATCAGGCACACCAAAGTCCTCAAACTAACAACATCATTGCTTATTTGGAGAGGTCTCGGACTGCAGACTTTCTGCAATAAGCCTCCTGACAGCTGGCCCCAAGGATGTTTGTTGATTGTGAATCCAAGTAAGATAAAGTTGTTGACAGGTTCAATCTTTTCTCCTTTTATTATGATATTGCTTTTGACCTAGTAGTGAGAATTTTTTGTGTTCTTGGTGTTGAGATGCAATTCATATTGAAGGCTGTTGTATTCTTTGATCTTCTGAAGCAAGCACTTGAAGTCCTCCTGCCTTTCAGCAAGTAAGGTTGTATCATCTCCATATGGTAGGTTCTTGATGAGTGTTCTGATCCTAATGCCACATTCTTCCTCATAGAACTTCTCAGAGAATTTTCTCAGCATACAGATTGAGTAGATATGGAGCAAGGATGCAAGTCTGATACACCTCTTTCTTAATTTTAGACCATGTAGTATTCTCTTCCTCTGTTCACTCAACAGCCTCTCTATCTAGGTATAGCACAGTGCTCTAGAATTTCTCTCTCTCTCTCTCTCTCTCTCTCTCTCTCTCTCTCTCTCTCTCATCTATCTACCTATCTTCTTATCTCTTTGCCCAGGCTATTTCCTTAGCCTATAGCACTATTCCCAACTGTAGCTACATATTATTATTAAGTCAAAGACTTAGAAGAGACATCTTACTCATCCATCCCATCACCTCCAGAATAGGTTCTCTCCATTAACTACAGTCCTAATCGTGTGAGCTGAGACTGCACTGGCATAGTACTTCCACCAAGGTGGGAATTCCTAAACACAGAGTCTGGGAATGAACCTTTACTGAGACTCCAGGACACAAGGTGGACTTCGGAATGGCACTGGAGATGAAGATTGAGTTGCAAGCAGTGAAGGATTATCTTCTGGATGAGGATTGACTAGGTAATGATCCATATGTTCTTGTACAAGGAATTGATGACTTTTATCTCTCTGTACAAAGACTTAGTAATCAGAAGATAAAAAAAGTCTAACATACAGAATAGAAAGATCTTCAAAAGGGGAGATTTCAAAGAGGAAAACTAGGGAGAAGATTAGAAGTTTATTTCCTGATCATGTGCTAATATCTTCTCTAATATATTGTCACAAATGTCTCAACTGATCAGATCTTTCTAATCCAAAACCACAACAACTTTTCCCTTGTGGGACAGAATATGTACAAGACTTTGTATCTGGTTTATGTGCCTATTCTCACAAAGCAATTATTAGGGTAGAATATGCAAGAAGGTTTTCTCACACCTCCACCAGAGTAATGAAAACAGGTTGTGAGCCTGCACTTACCATTCAATCTCCTCTGGTTTTCGATCCCTCAGGAGCTCTTGCACCTCCTTTCGGCAACGCTCCTGGTATTCTGGGTGCTTGGCAAGGTTGTACAGGATCCAGGAGAGGCCACTGGCTGTGGTGTCATGGCCTGTGGGATGGTCAGATGATCTTTGGTCACTGGCTGCTTCAACACCAAAGGGAGGACAGCTTCCTCATATTGAGATACTCAAAGAAGATGAAGAAGAGTGTGGGTAATACACGGTCCACCCCTCAAGACCCTGAGAAGGGAAAGCCCCAGACCTCAATGTATTGCCATGTTAGATCCTCACCCTCAAACATAAAGGTATCAGCCTCTGCTCGAATGTCCTCATCTGACAGCTCCTTCCCATCTTCATCCTGAAGAAAAGGCAGGACTAACATCATCCTTGAATCGCACTAGCTCTATAGGTCCATGAGGCTAAACATCAGAGTGACATCCAATGACTAGTTTTGGGTAGAGCTCCTATAATAAGAAAAACTAGCAAAAATATCCTGACAATCTGCTTCAAAATTAATTTTATGAATCACAACAGTATATATAGCCCAAAATACTGTCATAAAATTAGTGTCTTATTGGAAGGCATCAAAATACAGTGTGACCCTTGTGATAATTTCGGTTTGTAAATGTGGCCTCAAACTATGAGGTTGTACTGGATGCTGGTGGTGATACTTTAAATATCAGAGTCCAAAATATGAAAATATGTGTATAAGTGTACACATATATATACATGTACGTATACATCCACCACTCATCTGTTCCAAGAACCTTGTTTGCTGAAAGTGAGAAGTACTTGAAGCCCTTGTTACAGAAGATCAAAAATTATAACCTTCAGTATGGATTGCATCTCAACATCAAGAAGACAAAAACTAAGGGAGCTCTGGTGGCCTAGTGGCAAGAAGCTGTGCACTGCAGTCCCAGAGGTGCACTGTTCAAAGCCACCAGATGCTCTGCTGGAAAAGGAGGGGGCCATCTCCTCCTGTACCAGTCAGATCCAATTTGAAAGTACACACAAAAAAAAATGATAAAATAGAATAAGAAGAAAAAAAAAGACAAAACCTTTTCACCACTGGACAGATAAACAACATCATGTTAGATGGAGAAAAGCTTGAAACTGTAAACTATTTCATCTTCCTTAGATCAATAATCAACACTCAGGATACATGCAATCAGGAGATCAAGAGATGTATTCCATTGGGCATGTCTGTTGTCAGGAACCTCTCCAAATTAATGAGGTGCAATGAGATCAGTTTGAAACTAAAGTGAACCTGATTTAAGGCACGGTCTTTTCCCATCACTTACAATCCATGTGAGATTTGAGTAATGAATTGGGATGACCAAAGAAAACTTGATGCCTTTGAGTTGTGGTGTTGGAGAGAGTACTGACTATCCCATGGACTCCCAGAAAACAAGCATGCATGTCTTGGAGAAAGTGCAACCAGAACGCTCCTTAGGGGCAAGAATGATGAAAATTGAGCTTACATATTTCGGGTATGTTGCTAGGAGAGGCTATTTTTTGGAGACAACATCATGCTTGGAAAGGCGGAGGGTCAGCAAAGACAGCAAGACTTTCAAAGTGGCTGAAACAATGGTTTCAAGTGTATCTGAGATAATGAGCTGGCACAACACAAGACAAGTTTTAGATCCGTTGTTCAGAGTCAAACTCAATTTGACAGCACCTAATGACAACAAATCTGTCCCATTACTCCTCCATCAGTTTGTCATCCTTTGATGGCTGTGATGTTGGAGGCCAGGCCATCACCATTTCGAATTCCAGCAAGACCATCAATGGGAGACAAGTAAATAGAGCTCCCAGGATAAGACATTCTATGAACCAGGATTGACAATCTACTTCCAAAATAATCGGATCATTGAAACCTTCTGAATAACAATGAAATGGTGTCTTGTATAGTGACAAAAAATGAGGTCTTTACTCTGTAATACATTCAAAATATGACTGTGGAACAGCTGCTTCCTCAAAGTAGAGTTTATCTTAATGATGTTAATGGAGTAAATGTGCAAAACATTAATTTGCTGATATGTTGTTGATGTTAGGTGTCACCAAGTCAACTATGATTCATAGTTGCTGCTGAAGGTCAAGGACTGCAGCCTCCTATATGGATTGAAGCTCAACATCAAGAAAACAAAGATTCTCACCACTGGGTCAATTGACAGCATCAGTATGGATGGTGAAGAGACTGAAATAGTTAACAGTTTTAGTTTACTTGGATCCACCGTCAACACTCTTGGTAACAGCATCCAGGAAACCAAGAGATGAATTGCATTGGGAAAGTCAGCTGTGAGGGACCTCTCAAGAGTACTAAGGAGTAATGACATCAGACTGGAGACTAAGGTGCACCTGATCCAGGCTATAGTCTTTGCAATTACATGCTATGCATCAGAGAGTTGGACAGTGACTAGGGATGATAGAAAGAGAATTGATGTCTTTGAGCTGTGGTGCTGGAGATGAGTGTTGAATATACCATGGACTGCTAAGAGAACAAACAGGTTTGTCCTGGAGAGGATGAAGCCAGAATGCTCTTGGAGTCAAGGATTCTGAAGCTTCATCTGACATGCTTGGGCATGTTGCAAGGAGGGACTAGTTCTTGGAGAAGGACATCATGTTTGGGAGAATGGAGGGGCAGCGCAGGAGAGGAAGACCCTCAGTAAGATGGATCCATTCTGTGATTGGGGTGGTGGGAATGAGTGTGCTTGAGATGGCGAGGTTGGCACAGGATAGAACTGCATTTAGAGCTCTTGTACATAGGGTCACTATGAGTCGCAAGTGACTCGATGGCACATAACAACAACAAACAAATACTATCATTAAGATCTCACACTTGCGCAAGCCCATTGTTTTGGTCGCCCTGTCAGTCCATCTCGTTAGGGTCTGTCTCCATTTTGCTGACACTAGACCTTTGCCAGTGTGATGTAGTTTCCAAAAACTGCCCCCTCCTGACAACCTGGTGAAAGTATGTGAGATACAATTTCACCATTCTTGCCTAAGAGCACTATGGTTGCACTTCCTCCAACAGGTTTTTTGGTGTTTTAGAAGTCCATGGGATAGTCAGTACTCTTCTCCAAACCATAATTTAAAGACATAAATTCTTCTTCAGTCTTACTCATTTTCCAACTTTCAGGAAGAAATTGAAAATACCATGACCAGCACATCTAAATCCTTCAACTGCATCCTTGCTATTTGTACTATATAGCAAGATCAGAATGATAAGAAACAACCACAAAACTCCAGTAATAATCATGAAGTAAAATATATGAGGCATGAATCCAGGAAAATTGGAAACTGTCAAAATGAAATGGAACATACTAAACCTAGGCATTAGTGAACTAAAATACACTGGTATTATCCATTTTTAATTGGTCTATCATTCGGTCTACATGCTAGGAATGAAAACTTGAAGAGAAAAAGCACTAGATTCATCATAAAAAAAGAATATTTCAAAATCAATTCTGAAGCCAAATACAATCAGTCATAGTATAATATCCATTCAAAGAAGACCTCGTCTTACAACCATTGTTCAAATTTATGCACCTATCATTAAAGTTGAATTAGCACAGGGTTTAGAGCAGGGTTTAGGACTAGAGTCGCAAGCGACTCAACAGCACATAACAACAACAACATCATCATCAAAGTTAACATGAAGAAATTGATAATTTCTATAAGCATCCAGGGTGTGACATTAATCAAATACACAATCTAGATGCTTTCACAATTACTGGTGATTGGAATGTAAAGGGTCAAAATAAGGAAGGATGTTCTTGCTGCTGCTGCTGCTTCTGCTGCTGCCTCTGTTAGATGCCATCAAGTTGATTGCAACCAATAGCGACCCGATGGGCACAGATCTGAATTTTGTTCTACCCTGTCCTGTGCCATCCTCATCATCTCTGATACAGTGCTCACATACAACTCTGATACTCTGGTTGCCCTTTGCTGCAATCACTGTGTCAATCCGTCTTACAGAAACTTTTCCTCTCTTTCACTGAACCTTCACCTTCCAAGCATGGTGTTCCTGTCCAAGGAATAACCACTCCTAGCAACATGCTCAAAGTATATGAAATGAAATTTTGTCATCTTTGCCTCCAAGGGCTATTCTTGCTTCGCTTACTCCATGCCTGTTTATTCTTTTGGAAATCCATGGGATATTCAGTCTCTTCTCCAACACCACAACTCAAAGCATCAATTCTTCTTCTGTCATCCTTATTCATAGTCTGACTCTCAGCTCCATAGAAAATTATTTATAAGTCCATGGCCTGAATCAGGTATACCATAGTCTTCAAACTGATTTCATTGCTCCTCCATAACTTGGACAGGTCACTGACAACCTACTTGCCTGATAGAATATGTCTCTTGATCTCCTATCTGCTCTTGCCAGAGATGTTGTTTGTGTATCCAAACAAGGATCGGTCCTCCTGATAACATACCAGGACCAAAGAAGAAAAAATACTTGAAAAATATGTCCTTGCTGATAGAAACAATTCTAGAGGTATTGTTAATAGCACACTCAAGTACAATCCTGCTGAAAATAGTTCAAAAATACTTGGAGCAGAACATTGAAAAGGAACAGCCAGAATTCAAGGTGGATTGAGAAGAGGACGTAGAGTGAGATGTATCAGTATTAAAGTTAGGATCTTGGCTGGAATAAAATTAATATATTTATTATGGAAATGCATTCAAATCTATGGCTTATAATAAATTATGAATAATCTTCAGAAGAATAAAAACTCCAGAACACTTAATCGTTCTCATGTGGATCTCTACAAAGACCATGAAGCAATCTTGAGGGTATAATAAGAAAATGTGGCAGAAAAGCAACTGTCAAGAAGTAAAATGGTATATTGCACTAGAAAAATCTCCAGCAAGGAACCACACTTTACAGTGATAAAGAGCAAGGATATCACTTTGATACTAAGGAGAACCTGACCCAAGCCATAATGTTTTCACTTTCCTCCTAAGTATATGTAAGCTGGACAACGAATAAGGAAAATAAAAGACTTGATGCATTTGAGTTGTGATATCTGTAGAGAACAGTGAACATAACATTGAGTGTGAAAAGTACAAGTATGTCTTGGAAGGTGGGCAGCCAGAACGCTCCTTCGAGGGGAGGATGGAGATATGTTGTCTCACAAACTGTAGCTTGTTTTCAGGAGAGACCAGTCCATGTACCAGAACATCACGTTTGGTAAACAGAGGATCAGGAAAAAAAGAGGAAGATCCACCACAAGGTGCATTGACACAGTAGCTGCAAAAAATGGGCTCCGAGCTCCGATAGCAGCAGTTGTGCAGGCGGCTCAGGGTCAGGCAGTGGTTTGTTCTGTTATACACGGGTTTTCCGCAAGTGGGAACCAACTTGATATCATCTAACAGCAGCATTTACCTGTCAGTTTGTCACTTTGTTCTGACGCTGGAAGCTATGCTAACTCTATTTTAAATTTGAGTTACTCATAATGGATAAATGTCAGCTTAGTTTGGAGCTTCCAAGCCTAAAGAGACAGGAGGATAGACCTGGTGATTATATTCTGGAAACCAGTCAGTGAAAACCCTATGTATCACAGCAGAACCTTGTACAATAGTACTCGAAGATGGACCCCTACATAGTGGTCACAACAGTGGGCATGAGCACATGAACAATCTTGAAGACGGAACAGGAATGGGCAGCATTTTATTCTGTTATACATATGAGTGAGAGTATATGAAACACTAATAACAAGTATACTACATTGTTGTTGTGTACCATTGAGTCAGAGCTTACAGCTGACCATCCAGCAGGTTTTCAGAGGCAGTTAATCACACAGGGAGGAGAGTAACTGCCCATCCTTCTCCCTCAGAGCAGCTGGTGGATTCAAACCACATGCCTTTGGGATTGCAGCACAGTTTCTTACCACTAGGCCGCCAGAGAGCTCCTTATAATACTATAAATTGTTGTTGTTGTTATGTGCCATAGAGTCGCTTGCACTCATAGCAACCCTATGTACAAGAGCCCTAAATGCCGCTCTGCCCTGTGCCAACCTCGCCATCTCAAACGCACTCATTCCCACCACCCTAATCACAGGATCGATCCATCTCATCGAGGGTCTTCCTCTCCTGCGCCGTCCCTCCACTCTCCCAAACATGATGTCCCTCTCCAAGGACCAGTCCCTCCTTGCAACATGCCCAGAGTATGCCAGATGAAGCTTCAGAATTACGTATCATATAGAGCACATGTGCCATGGCTTTGTAATTACCTTCCAGGTAGAATATCAAAGCCTTTTGTAAACCCGGCTTGAATTTCTGCAGGTTCCCTGTCAATGTATCTTAGCATGAGCAGTTACCATTGCTGGTATCATATGGATCTTCATTAAAAGCAGGGAATGCAATAAAGATGTTTACTTATATTTTATTGACTGTGTGGCATAATAACAATTATGGGCAATATTGAGAAGAACAGGAACCCCAGAAAACCTAATTATGCTCATTAAAAGCCTACATGTTATGTACAACAGCCCTAAATCCTGTTCTATCCTGTGCCAAACTTATTGTCTCTGACACACCTTCCCCCATTACTCCAGTCACTGACTCAAACCACCTTATAAAGGATCTTTCTCTCTTGTACTGTCCATCCCCCCTCCCAAGCATGACGATCTTCTCCAAGGTCTGGTCCCTCCTTGCAATATGTCCAAAGTATGCCAGACAGAGCTTCAGAATCCTTGACTCCAAGGAGTAGCCTATTCTCACCCTCTCTAGGACAAACGTGTTTCTTCTCCTAGCAGTCTATGGTATATTCAATACTCTTCTCCAGAACCATAGCTCAAAGACATCAATTCTCTTTCTATCATCCCTAGTCATTGCCCAGCTCTCTGATGCATAGCAAGTGATTGCAAAGACCATGGCCTGTATGAGACACACCTTAGTTTCCAGACTGATATCATTGCTCTTTAGTAGTTTGGAGAGGTCTCTGACACCGGACTTACCCAATGCAATTTGTCTTTTAATTTCCTGGCGGCTGGTACCAAGAGTATTGATTGTGGAGCCAAGCAAACTAAAGCTGTTAACAACCACAATCTCTTCACCATCTATCATGATGCTACCAATCAGTCCAATGGTGAGAATCTTCGTTTTCTTGTTGTTGAGCTTCAATCCATATTGAAGGCTGCAGTCCTTAACCTTCTGCAGCAAGTGCTTCAGGTCCTTCTCAGTTTCAGCAAGCAGAGTTTTGTCTTCTGCATAATGCAGATTGTTGATGAGTCTACCTTCAATCCTGATGACACACTTATCCTCATAGAGCTCAGCCTCCCAGATAATCTGTTCTGCATATAGATTGAAAAGGCATGGTGATAGAATACATTCAGTGTTTCCTTGCTCTGTTTTGATGACTGCCTCCTGGTCCAAGCATAGGCTTCACATAAGTATCATTAAGTGTTCTGGGATTCCCATTCTTTTCAGAGTCAGTCACAGTTTGTTGTGATCCACACAGTCAAATGCCTTTGCATAGTCAATGAAACACAGACAGTCTCTTCTCTTAGATCCATCTAACCTTGACTATAATATCCCTAGTACCATGGTCTCTAAACCCAGCCTGCTTTTCTAGCAATTCTCTGTTGATCATGCTGTTTCAGTCTTTTTTTAATAATTTTCAGCAGAATATTACTTACATGTGATATTAGTGATATTGTTCAATAATTTCTTCGCTCTGTCAGATCACCTGAGTTTTGAAATAGTCTCAGGAACAGATTTGAGGTCTTGAACACTAATTAGTGAAGACCAGATGAGCTGTGGGAGGAGATCAAGAATGTCATCAAGGAAGAATGAAGGGGGTCGTTATAAAGACAGAGGAGGAAGAAAAGACCAAGATAGATATCAGAAGAGACTCAGAATATTACACTAGAGCACCGAGAAGCCAAAGCAAAGGAAATAAATCAAGATATTAAGGGGTTAAACAGAAGGTTTCAAAGGTCAGTGTGGGAAGGCAAAGTAAAGTATTATAATGAAATGTGCAAAGAGCTGGAGTCAGAAAATCAAAGGGGCCGAACCTGCTCAGCATTTCTTAAGCTGAAGGAACTGAAAACAAGTTCAAGCTTCAAGCTGCAACACGTAAGGATGCTTTGGGCAGAATATTAAATGATCCCAGAAGCATTGAAAGAAGGTTGAACGACTATACAGAGTTACTGTACCAAAAGGAATTGGCAGATAGAGAAGAATTTCAAGAAACAACATATGAGTAAGAGCCTGTGGTGATGAAGGAAGAAGCTCAAGTTGTTCTGGAAGAAATGGCAAAAAACAAAAACAAGGCCCCAGGAATTGATGGCACACCAATTGACATATTTCAACAGATACTGCCCTGGATGTGCTCACCAGGTTGTGTCAAGAAATCTGGAGGTAACCATCTAGCCAACTGACTGGAAGAGATCTATATTTGTTTCCATTCCAAAGAAAAGTGTGAGTGTGTGTGTGTGTGTGTGTGTGTGTATTCTTAAGAAATCAGAACTGCCACCCAAACAGATATATGCACACCCATGTTTATTGCTGCATTGTTCACAAAGGCAAAGAGATGGAAGCAACCCAATTGCCCATCAACAAATGAGTGGATAGAGAAACTGTGGTACAGTTACACAATTGAATACCACACAGCACTGAAAAACAAGGATCTTATAAAATATTATACAAAATGGGTGAGTCTGGAGAACATTACGCTGAGTGATATATCTCAGTTACAAAAGGACAAATACTGCTGTTATACAACAGCACTGACATGAGGGTTGGGGGAAAACTAAGAAAAAAGATGATAAATAATGCACGTTGCATTTAAATAGATGAGAGAAAGCACGGTCTAAAAGAAATAAATTATTTGGTTTTATTTGCATCACAACAGGACAGAATAAGCAGTATATAGCAAAGTGGAGTCGGGGGGAGCAGAGTAGGGGGAGGGAGAAAATTGTGCAATAGTAAAAGAATCTTATCAGAGAGAAAAGTGAACGAGGGGGTAGGGAGGAAAAATGTGCAACAATGAATGAATGGAAATCCAAGTTTTCTGTAGACTTTTTTTATATCAATAAAAAAATTTACGAAATTAAACACTTAAGGCAGGTAAAAGAAATAAAGTACATGGGATAATTTTTTTTAAAGAAATGAAAGTCTTGACCACTTGTCACATCAAAACCTGCAGTCAGGCACTCACCTTGCTTAGCAAGAGCACATCAATGAAGTCCAAAGTCTTGGTCTTGGTCTTGGCCTTGAGGAAGTCATCAATACCCTGTTCTGAGAGGGTGCGCCGGCGCTCCTTAATGGCAGCATCTGTGAAGTCATGTACCAGGCGGCAGGCCTTTCTGAAGCGCCTCCCATCAGGAGTGAGATGATACAGGAAGTCCCAGTGCATGGGGATCTGCTGTTGCCGGTTTGATGCTAGCGCACTGAGTTCCAAGATGGCAGCAATGTATTCACTGGGCTTCCTGAAGGATGAAACAAGAAAAAAGACTCAAACTTCATAGACCTAAAATTCATGGTATACCTACTCCCTAGAATCCAGAGCTACCTCCCCTTAGGAAACTGTGCATTCAGGAGGAGGCCCATAGATGCCTGATGGGGATAAACCAGCAGAAAAGACTCTCCAAGCTTCCTTATTTCTGCACATATCCACCCACTGGAGTGATCCCCATACTCCAGGACATAAGGAGAGTCTGAGAGTCATGTGCTTCATACTCACTCGCCTTTTTTCTTTCCCAACCTGTCCATATGGCTCATACTTCATTCTCCCCCAACTGTTCCATGGGCCCACCTTCTACTTGTCTCCTTCTGCTCAGTATCAATACTGTCCAGTCTCTACAAAACATTCAGGTTCCTAGAAAAACAGATTTCTAAAGCTCAACTAAAAGCATGCTCTTCATCTGCTGAAACACCTTCAGTGCTCCAGGGAGATCCCACGATAAATTCTATGCCTCTTTTCCTACTTTTTTCATGTCCTTACGGTCTAGATCCTGTGTAGTACTTCCCCTTAATTTCCAAGGTAATTAGTTCACTCTCTCATCCATGATTTGATCATCCTAATCTTGTTTGCCTTTAATGAAATATTTCTTCCTCAGCGTTCATAACCCTTTAATGTGGCACACCTCCTCGAGGAAGGCTTTCTTTTTTTCATCTCTAATAATTTATTCTCTTTGTTAATGGTCCAGGTTCCCAGACCCAGGCATAAAACTCACTCCTGGCAATGACTGTCCAAGCTGAAAACACATTTCTGCAGACTGTCCAAGGTCATCAGACTGAGGTGCTCAAACATATCCAGACGGGCACTGCCTTCAGAAATCAGGTTCTGCCACTTTGCCTGGTCAGAGAAGAGAACACAGTTGGACCTGAGAAATGTCTTCTCTGAGACCACTTCTGCTGCTCCTATCACCAAGATGAAATCCACCCAGAAACCAACCTCCTTGAGCTCCACCAAGCACTCATGCTCAGAGTAGATCAGGCTTGCGTTAAAGTGAAAAGTGTTATTATTAAGATGAGAACATCCTATTGTTTGGAGTCAGGATATTTGGGTTCAAGTACCAGCTCTCCCTTTTATGTTCTGTGTGGCCTGACAAGTCATTACCCTTCCTCTTCATCCCCCAACTACTAAATGTTCACTAAAAGTTAAGATCATGATCAAGTAGTATTTATAACAGGCATGCAAGAATCTTTCAACATGAGAAGAACAACCAATGTGATTCACCACACCAATAAAACAAAATATAAGAAACACATGATCATCTCAATTGATGCAGAAATTTCTGATAAGAAAGCTCAACACAATAGTAACAGAGGAGAATTTCCTCAACATAGTTAAGCACATATATACCAAACCCACAACTAACCTTATCCTCAATGGAGTCAGTTTAAAGATATTTTGCATGGGAACCAGAAGATGATGTCCATAATAAAACACTCCTACTTATTCCCATTCCCAAGAGAATGTAGAAATTATCAAGCAATATCATTAATATCACATGCAAGCAAAATATTGCTGGACATCATCTAAACATGGCTGAAGCAGTACATTAACAAAGAAATACCAAAAGTTCAAGCTGGGTTTAGAAGAGACCATAGCACCAGGGAAAACACTGCTGATGTCAGATGGATGCTGGCTGAAAGCAGAGAATACCAGAATAATGTCTATCTTTGTTTTATTGACTATGCAAATGTATTTGTTTGTGTGGATCACCACAAACTATGGCTAACACTAAGAAGAATGGGAATCCCAAAACCCTTAATTGTACTCTCACAAAATCTATACCTATACCGTGAAGTTATTGTCTGAACAGAGCAAGGGAACACTTCATGGTTTGAAACTAGGAAAAAGCAGGATTGTGTCCTTTCTCCTCACCCATTCAAGGTGTATGCAGAGCAAATAATTAGTGAATCCAGAATCTATAAAGAAAATACGGCATCAGTTAGAATCAGGAGAAGACTCATTGTCACAGGATAGAGTAGGCTGTTGTACATAAGCTTGCTATGAGTCACTAGTAACTAGACGGGCACATAAGAACAACAACAACAACATGCAGATAACACAACCTTGCTTGCCGAAACTGAGGAAGAGCTGAGGAGCTTGAGCAGAAGATAAGGATTATAACCTTCAATATTGATTACATGAACATTAAGAAAGCAAAGTTCTTATCACTGATAAGGCCACATCATGACAGATGGAGGGAAAAAATGAAGTTGGCAATAATTTCATCTTACTTAGATCCACAATCAACACCTTTGGTACCAGGAGTCAGGATATAAAGAGATGTATTGCTTTGGGCAAAAACACTGTCAGAGATCACTCCAAAATTCTGAAGAACAATGATACCAGTTTTAAGACTAAGGTTTGCCTGATTCAGGCCATGGTCTTTTTCAATCACTTGCTATGCATTTGAGAGCTGAGCAATGAATAAGTATTACAAAAGGAAACTTGATGCCTTTGAGATGTGGCGCTGGAGGAGAGTATTGAACATCATGTAGATTGCCAAAAGAACAATCAGTTGTGTCTTGGGAAAGGTGTAACCAAAGTGCTCCTTGGAGACAAAGATGATAAAGTTTAATCTCTCATACGTTGAACAGAACATTTTACTAAGATAGGTTATTCCTTTAAAAAGAATATCATACATGGAAAGGTGGAAAGTCAGCTAAAAAGAGCAAGAGCCTAAATGTGATGATGACTGCAGCAATGGGTTCAAGTATACCAGAGATGGTGAAGATAGAATAGGATAAGACAAGATTCAGATCTGTTGTTTGGAGTTTCAATGAGTTGTAATGGACTCGATAGCTCCTAGTAACAAAACCCAACAATTCAATATCATGTTGAAATCCTGACTAGACCAATAAGGCAATAAAAGGAAATTAAGAGGCATCCAAATTTGCAAAGTGGAGGTAAAACTCTGTCAAACCAAAATATTTCTGAAGATCATGGAAAACTCCTAAAACAGTGCATTGATGGAGAACTGCCAAGAGTTCAAATTGGGTTTTGAAGAGACCCTGGCATTTAAGATATTGCTGCTGATGTCAGATGGATCCTGGCTAAAAGGAGAGAATATCAGAAGAAAATATGTTTGTGTTTTATTGACTGTGTAAAACCATAAAATTGTTTGGACATAACAAACAAGGGTAACATTGAGGAGAACAAGAATTCCAAAACACTTAATTGTGCTTATGTGAAACTTATACATAGGCCAAGAATCTGTTGTTAACAGAACAAGGGAATAATGCATGGTATAACACCAAGGAAGGTGTGTATCAGGACTATCTGTATGCTGAGAAAATCATTCCAAAATCTGGGTTTTATGTAGAAAGATGTGGTATCAGGATTGGAGGAAAACTCATTAACAACCTGTGTTATGTAGATAACACAACCTTGCTTGCTGAGAGTGAAGAAGATGTGAAATGCTTGCTGCAGACGATCAAGGACTTCAGTCTTTGGCATGGATTGCATCTCTATATCAAGAAAATAAATATCATCATCACTGGGCAAAATGTCAACATCATTGATGGAGTAAGAATTGAGGTTATCAATGGTTTCATCTTGCTTGGATCCACAATCAACACAGTTAATACTCACTGGAAGTAAGAGACAGTTGAACCCTCATCAAGCCATTCATGCAAGTCCTTAATTAGAGAACAGCACCCAGGAAATCAGGGGACATATTGCACTGGACAAGTCCAGTTAAGAACCTCTCCAAAATGCTGAAGAGCAATGATGTCAGTTTGAAGACTAAGATGTGCCTGATTCAGGCTGTTGTCTTCTCCACCACGTGCTATGTATCAGAGAGCTGAACAATAAGTAAGGATTACAGAAGAAGAACTGATGCCTTTGAGTTGTGGTGCTGGAGAAGAGCACTGAATACTCCAAAGGACAAACAGAACGAAGAGATACATCTTGGGGAAGGTGCAGGCAGAGTGTTCTTTGGAGGAAAAAGATAGTAAAGCTTTGTCTTTAATATTTTGTTCATGTACCTAGGTGAGGCTATTCCTTGGAATGGGACATCATGCTTGGAAAGATGGAGGGTCCGAAAATGAAAGAAAGATCCTCAATGAGATGGATTGACACAGTGATCTCATCAATGGGCTCTAGTGTGTTAGAGAAAGAAGATGAGGATGGTACAGGATAGGACAAAGTTCAAGTTCATAGTGTCACTATAGGGTCACTATACACAATTCAACAACACCTAATAACAACAGCCAGCACATGCACAAGAAAAAGATAACCCAATTAAAATATGGGCAGAAGAAGTGTAAAAGATTATTCGTCAAAGAGAATATGCAAATGGCAAACAAATATATAAAGAAATGCTCCAGATCACTAACTATTGTTGTTGTTGTTATGTGACATCAAGTTGCCTGTGACTCATAGCGACCCTGCAAGCTCTGAATCCTGCTCTATCCTGACCTGATCTCACTGTTTCTGATACACCTACCTTCATTACTCCAGTTACGGTGTCAATACATCTCATCCAGGGTCTTCCTCTCCTGTACTGTCCCTCTACCCCTCCATGCACGATGTCCTTCTCCAAGAACTGGTTCCTCTTTGCAACATGTCCAAAGTATGTGAGATGGAGCTTCAAAATCCTTGCCTCCACAGAGCACGTTGGCTTCACCTTCTCGAGGACAGACCTGTTAGTTCTTTTGGCAGTCCGTGGTATATGTTCAATACTCTTCTCAAGCACCACAGCTCAAAGGCATCAATTCTCCTTTTATATCCCTAGTCATTGTCCAGCTTTCTGATGCATAGCAAGTAATTGCAAAGACTATGGCCTGTATCAAGCACACTTTAGTTTCCAGACAAATATCGTTGCCCTTCAGTACTCTCACAAGGTCTCTGACAGCAGACTTTCCCACTGCAATTCATCTTTCAATTTCCTGGCTCCTAGTACCAAGAGTGTTGATTGTGGAGTTAAGCAAACTAAAGCTGTTACTATAAACTGCTAGGAGAACAAACATGTTCATCCTAGAGAGGATGAGACGAGGCTGCTTCTTGGAGGCAAGATTTCTGAAGCTTTGTCTGACATACTTTGGACATGTTGCAAGGAGGGACCAGTCCTTGGAGAGGAATGTCATGCTTGGGAGGGTGGAGGGACAGCACAAGAGAGGAAGATTCTCGATGAGATGCATTGATTGTGACTGTGATAATGGATATAGCTGTTTCAGAAACAATAAGATTGTCATAGGATAGAGCAGGGTTTAGAACTGTTGTACATATGGTCTCTGAATCACAGATGACTCAACAGTACATAACAATGACAACATCACTAATCTCACACTCAAGAAAAATCCTGCTGAAGATCATCCAAAAATGACTAGAAC